GGGGGGGGGGTGTGTTCTTTACAGGGTTTAAACCCTAGAGAAGTTTTGAGACAGTGGGGGTTAGTCACCAGAGAAGTTAATAAGCCTGTTTCATTGAGGGTATGTCAACAGGGAAGGTATTAAGCCTGTTTTTTTTCCTCTGAGCACAGAAACAAGTGCTTGAAAAAAAATGAACTTCAGCAATCTTTCTGCTCCCAAGGTTACCCCTGGAACTGCCGCATCACCCATAATATCTTTTTTTTAAATCTAGCAGAGACTAATTTTCTCTTCTTCCCATTCCTTGGAGGCAATGGCGTAGCTAGGGGGTGTGGTGGGGGTGGGGTGTGGGCAGTCAGGCATGTGTCCGGCACCTAACTAAAAGCTGAGCTACTTTCGTACTTTACGACCCTTGTTTTTTTATGCTTTATGACAAGTTTTGTCATTTCACTCTGTGGACCAGGATTAAAAGTAACACAGAAAAAAACCGAAGTAAAACTGAAACAATCAAATCTAACATCTAATGGTGTAAGATTTTAACATATGCACATATAATAAAGAAATGCGCTTAAATGCATTTGCATTAAAAAAAAAAAATTTTTTAAAAGAGGAAGAAACACACATAGTTTATATAATAGCACACATACACACATTTCAACTAATGTTTTAAAAGCACAGACATATCATTGACCAAAGTCATTTGTGATATAAATTATGTACACAAATTTGTTAAAACAAAATTAGTAACGGTGACAGAATAAGCAGGGCTAGCATAGATACGCTGTACAAAAAATTTTTGTAAACTATTTGTTTCAATTCCCATAACTGACAGACAGAATTTTTTTTTTTTTTAAAATATATTAGTATCAATTCACTTAATTGACAGATGTAACTTTTAATTTTAAAAACTAGGACTAGTTACCGGATCAAAATTTAATATTTGGCTCCTTTGCCATGAAAAAGATTTTTTTCCTCAATAGGGTTTGTCATTTCTAAGACAGGAAAAGTCACTTCACATTACGTAATGTTACTATTTTCAGACAAGGCTTTCGTAAAACATAGCTTCTAACAATGTATTTCCGCATACATATAGGCGGCGACAATTTGTTGTTAAAATCTTTTGTAGAGTAAAGTTGTAAATGCGCTTTCATCTAGGTTAAGACCCATTATGCTGGCTTACATTATCATGTTAGTACCGAACGGCTGTTGAGACTATTTAGAGATTGGGCAAATGTAATGCCAGGATGTTTTATTAATATCTCAACGAGATCGGCCAGACTGTATGCCCGGATGTTCTGTTAACAGATTTCTGCCATTAAATGAAAAACTCTGTTCTGTGTCCAACCCGTGGTAGATTGTTGGCTCATCATTGTAAACAATTATGACCTCTAACAATATAGCTGTGATGGATCCACTGGAATAACATAGTGTTAACATCAAATTGAACAGTGGTTCTCAACCTTCCTAATGCCACAATCCTTTAATACAGTTCCTCATTTTGTGGTGACCCCCCCCCCCCCCCCC